GTGGTTGTTGCTCCCCCGTTGTCTCCTCCTCATGCATGTGGTTGTTGCTCCCCCGTTGTCTCCTCCTCGTGCATGTGGTTGTTGCTCCCCCGTTGTCTCCTCCTCGTGCATGTGGTTGTTGCTCCCCCGTTGTCTCCTCCTCGTGCATGTGGTTGTTGCTCCCCCGTTGTCTCCTCCTCGTGCATGTGGTTGTTGCTCCCCGTTGTCTCCTCCTCGTGCATGTGGTTGTTGCTCCCCGTTGTCTCCTCCTCATGCATGTGGTTGTTGCTCCCCCGTTGTCTCCTCCTCGTGCATGTGGTTGTTGCTCCCCCGTTGTCTCCTCCTCATGCATGTGGTTGTTGCTCCCCCGTTGTCTCCTCCTCGTGCATGTGGTTGTTGCTCCCCCGTTGTCTCCTCCTCATGCATGTGGTTGTTGCTCCCCCGTTGTCTCCTCCTCATGCATGTGGTTGTTGCTCCCCCGTTGTCTCCTCCTCGTGCATGTGGTTGTTGCTCCCCCGTTGTCTCCTCCTCATGCATGTGGTTGTTGCTCCCCCGTTGTCTCCTCCTCGTGCATGTGGTTGTTGCTCCCCCGTTGTCTCCTCCTCATGCATGTGGTTGTTGCTCCCCCGTTGTCTCCTCCTCGTGCATGTGGTTGTTGCTCCCCCCGTTGTCTCCTCCTCATGCATGTGGTTGTTGCTCCCCCGTTGTCTCCTCCTCGTGCATGTGGTTGTTGCTCCCCCGTTGTCTCCTCCTCGTGCATGTGGTTGTTGCTCCCCCGTTGTCTCCTCCTCATGCATGTGGTTGTTGCTCCCCCGTTGTCTCCTCCTCATGCATGTGGTTGTTGCTCCCCCGTTGTCTCCTCCTCGTGCATGTGGTTGTTGCTCCCCCGTTGTCTCCTCCTCATGCATGTGGTTGTTGCTCCCCCGTTGTCTCCTCCTCATGCATGTGGTTGTTGCTCCCCCGTTGTCTCCTCCTCGTGCATGTGGTTGTTGCTCCCCCGTTGTCTCCTCCTCGTGCATGTGGTTGTTGCTCCCCCGTTGTCTCCTCCTCATGCATGTGGTTGTTGCTCCCCCGTTGTCTCCTCCTCATGCATGTGGGTTGTTGCTCCTCTCCTGGGGCCCCGTTGTCTCCTCCTCATGCATGTGGTTGTTGCTCCCCCGTTGTCTCCTCCTCGTGCATGTGGTTGTTGCTCCCCCGTTGTCTCCTCCTCGTGCATGTGGTTGTTGCTCCCCCGTTGTCTCCTCCTCATGCATGTGGTTGTTGCTCCCCCGTTGTCTCCTCCTCTGCATGTGGTTGTTGCTCCCCCGTTGTCTCCTCCTCGTGCATGTGGTTGTTGCTCCCCCGTTGTCTCCTCCTCGTGCATGTGGTTGTTGTTGCTCCCCCCGTTGTCTCTCCTCCTCATGCATGTGGTTGTTGCTCCCCCGTTGTCTCCTCCTCGTGCATGTGGTTGTTGCTCCCCCGTTGTCTCCTCCTCGTGCATGTGGTTGTTGCTCCCCCGTTGTCTCCTCCTCATGCATGTGGTTGTTGCTCCCCCGTTGTCTCCCTCGCATGGGGCTCCCCCGTTGTCTCCTCCTCTGCATGTGGTTGTTGCTCCCCCGTTGTCTCCTCCTCATGCATGTGGTTGTTGCTCCCCCGTTGTCTCCTCCTCGTGCATGTGGTTGTTGCTCCCCCGTTGTCTCCTCCTCATGCATGTGGTTGTTGCTCCCCCGTTGTCTCCTCCTCATGCATGTGGTTGTTGCTCCCCCGTTGTCTCCTCCTCGTGCATGTGGTTGTTGCTCCCCCGTTGTCTCCTCCTCGTGCATGTGGTTGTTGCTCCCCCGTTGTCTCCTCCTCATGCATGTGGTTGTTGCTCCCCCGTTGTCTCCTCCTCATGCATGTGGTTGTTGCTCCCCCGTTGTCTCCTCCTCGTGCATGTGGTTGTTGCTCCCCGTTGTCTCCTCCTCATGCATGTGGTTGTTGCTCCCCCCGTTGTCTCCTCCTCATGCATGTGGTTGTTGCTCCCCCGTTGTCTCCTCCTCGTGCATGTGGTTGTTGCTCCCCCGTTGTCTCCTCCTCGTGCATGTGGTTGTTGCTCCCCCGTTGTCTCCTCCTCATGCATGTGGTTGTTGCTCCCCCGTTGTCTCCTCCTCGTGCATGTGGTTGTTGCTCCCCCGTTGTCTCCTCCTCGTGCATGTGGTTGTTGCTCCCCCGTTGTCTCCTCCTCGTGCATGTGGTTGTTGCTCCCCCGTTGTCTCCTCCTCATGCATGTGGTTGTTGCTCCCCGTTGTCTCTCCTCGTGCATGTGGTTGTTGCTCCGTTGTCTCCTCCTCGTGCATGTGGTTGTTGCTCCCCGTTGTCTCCTCCTCGTGCATGTGGTTGTTGCTCCCCCGTTGTCTCCTCCTCGTGCATGTGGTTGTTGCTCCCCCGTTGTCTCCTCCTCGTGCATGTGGTTGTTGCTCCCCCGTTGTCTCCTCCTCATGCATGTGGTTGTTGCTCCCCCGTTGTCTCCTCCTCATGCATGTGGTTGTTGCTCCCCCGTTGTCTCCTCCTCATGCATGTGGTTGTTGCTCCCCCGTTGTCTCCTCCTCGTGCATGTGGTTGTTGCTCCCCCGTTGTCTCCTCCTCGTGCATGTGGTTGTTGCTCCCCCGTTGTCTCCTCCTCATGCATGTGGTTGTTGCTCCCCCGTTGTCTCCTCCTCATGCATGTGGTTGTTGCTCCCCCGTTGTCTCCTCCTCATGCATGTGGTTGTTGCTCCCCCGTTGTCTCCTCCTCGTGCATGTGGTTGTTGCTCCCCGTTGTCTCCTCTCTGCTGTGGTTGCTCCCCCGTTGTCTCCTCCTCGTGCATGTGGTTGTTGCTCCCCCGTTGTCTCCTCCTCGTGCATGTGGTTGTTGCTCCCCCGTTGTCTCCTCCTCATGCATGTGGTTGTTGCTCCCCCGTTGTCTCCTCCTCATGCATGTGGTTGTTGCTCCCCCGTTGTCTCCTCCTCGTGCATGTGGTTGTTGCTCCCCTCCCCCGTTGTCTCCTCCTCGTGCATGTGGTTGTTGTTGCTCCCCCCGTTGTTCTCCTCCTCATGCATGTGGTTGTTGCTCCCCCGTTGTCTCCTCCTCATGCATGTGGTTGTTGCTCCCCGTTGTCTCCTCCTCATGCATGTGGTTGTTGCTCCCCCGTTGTCTCCTCCTCGTGCATGTGGTTGTTGCTCCCCCCGTTGTCTCCTCCTCGTGCATGTGGTTGTTGCTCCCCCGTTGTCTCCTCCTCTGCATGTGGTTGTGCTCCCCCGTTGTCTCCTCCTCATGCATGTGGTTGTTGCTCCCCCGTTGTCTCCTCCTCTGCATGTGTTGTTGCTCCCCCGTTGTCTCCTCCTCTGATGTGGTTGTTGCTCCCCCGTTGTCTCCTCCTCTGCATGTGGTTGTTGCTCCCCCGTTGTCTCCTCCTCATGCATTGTGTTGTTTGCTCCCCCGTTGTCTCCTCCTCGTGCATGTGGTTGTTGCTCCCCCGTTGTCTCCTCCTCTGCATGTGGTTGTTGCTCCCCCGTTGTCTCCTCCTCATGCATGTGGTTGTTGCTCCCCCGTTGTCTCCTCCTCGTGCATGTGGTTGTTGCTCCCCCGTTGTCTCCTCCTCATGCATGTGGTTGTTGCTCCCCCGTTGTCTCCTCCTCGTGCATGTGGTTGTTGCTCCCCCGTTGTCTCCTCCTCGTGCATGTGGTTGTTGCTCCCCCGTTGTCTCCTCCTCGCATTGGGTGCTCCCCTCCTCCTCGTGCATGTGGTTGTTGCTCCCCCGTTGTCTCCTCCTCTGCATGTGGTTGTTGCTCCCCCGTTGTCTCCTCCTCTGCATGTGGTTGTTGCTCCCCCGTTGTCTCCTCCTCATGCATGTGGTTGTTGCTCCCCCGTTGTCTCCTCCTCATGCATGTGGTTGTTGCTCCCCCGTTGTCTCCTCCTCGTGCATGTGGTTGTTGCTCCCCCGTTGTCTCCTCCTCGTGCATGTGGTTGTTGCTCCCCCGTTGTCTCCTCCTCGTGCATGTGGTTGTTGCTCCCCCGTTGTCTCCTCCTCATGCATGTGGTTGTTGCTCCCCCGTTGTCTCCTCCTCATGCATGTGGTTGTTGCTCCCTTTTCTCTCTCATTTTTTGCTCCCCGTTGTCTCCTCCTCGTGCATGTGGTTGTTGCTCCCCCGTTGTCTCCTCCTCTGCATTGGTTGTTGCTCCCCGTTGTCTCCTCCTCGTGCATGTGGTTGTTGCTCCCCCGTTGTCTCCTCCTGTGCATGTGGTTGTTGCTCCCCCGTTGTCTCCTCCTCGTGCATGTGGTTGTTGCTCCCCCGTTGTCTCCTCCTCATGCATGTGGTTGTTGCTCCCCCGTTGTCTCCTCCTCGTGCATGTGGTTGTTGCTCCCCGTCTCCCCCGCGTTGTGCTCCCCCTCCTCCTCGTGCATGTGGTTGTTGCTCCCCCGTTGTCTCCTCCTCGTGCATGTGGTTGTTGCTCCCCCGTTGTCTCCTCCTCATGCATGTGGTTGTTGCTCCCCGTTGTCTCCTCCTCTGCATGTTTTTTTCGTGTCTCCTCCTCGTGCATGTGGTTGTTGCTCCCCCGTTGTCTCCTCCTCGTGCATGTGGTTGTTGCTCCCCCGTTGTCTCCTCCTCATGCATGTGGTTGTTGCTCCCCCGTTGTCTCCTCCTCGTGCATGTGGTTGTTGCTCCCCCGTTGTCTCCTCCTCATGCATGTGGTTGTTGCTCCCCCGTTGTCTCCTCCTCGTGCATGTGGTTGTTGCTCCCCCGTTGTCTCCTCCTCGTGCATGTGGTTGTTGCTCCCCCGTTGTCTCCTCCTCGTGCATGTGGTTGTGGGGTCTTCATCCCACCTTCTCCCCCTCCACTCCCCATTACCCCCCCTCCCCACTTCCCCAATCCTACCTTTCCACGTGGCCTTCCACATGGTGCCTATGCACGAGCTGTGCGAGTGCCCCAAGGGGGTCATGCTACCACCTTCCCCCCCTCCACTCCCCACAATCCCCCTCTCTCCAACCCCCCCCCCCCCCCCCCCCCCCCCAACTCCCCAGGTGCGCTTCCACATAGTGGCGATGCATGAGCTGTGCGAGTACCCCAAGGGCGAGGGCTTCAGCGACGGCTTTGACGCGCACCTCAACATCGAGCAGATGAACAAGGCCTGCGTGGACCTCTTCCACATGTACCACGACCGACGGGCGGAGATGGTGCGCGCGCACGCCAGGGCCAGCGAGGGCGGGGAGGCAGAGGAGGAGGAGGAGGCGGAGTGGGCGGCGTGTTTGGGGCGGGAGGCGGAGCTGCGAGGGTACTACTTGCTGCTCAAGATCGACCGCCACCCGGGCTTCAACGTGAGTCTGCTTCTGAGTCGACTCAAAGGCACGTGGGTTCGATGTGAGGCGGTAGTATTGGCTGTTGGTGATGGATGGACACTTGATGTTTGGAGGGAGCTTTAGCCTTTAGCACAGGTGCAGCAAGTCCCTTGGGTGTGACGATACGAGGCAAAGCGCTTCAACTTAAGTCGGACTAGGCTTATTATGAGACTGTGGCTTTGCTTGGTTCGAGCGTTTGATGCTATTGGATGGAATATTTCCGGATTCCAAGCCGTGTGTTATGTGTGGGTTTTGGGACTTCTCAAATCGGTTTTGCCATGGGCTTTATTGAGCTGAGTACAACGTCATTGTGACAGAGTATGTCATAATTGTAATGCAACGTGTGTCTGTAATGCATGGTGTGACTGTAATGGTGTGATCTAATGCATGGTGTATGTGTAACTGTAATGCCGGGTGTCACTGCAATGCATGGTGTGATTGTGACTGTATCAGGTTGAGCCTGCAGAGTTCGCCAGGGAGCTCTCCCTCCTCCCCCACAGCGTCAGGAGCAGCCCCGAAGTTGTCTTCGCTCGCTGCGTCGCAAGGTGCGGCCCTCCAATCTGCCACATATAAGGGCCATGTCAAAGGTTCACGGATGGAGTCCTTGCTACAGCTTCACCGCATCGTCTTCTGATGTGCCTACAGTACTGCTCTCCTCATCCCCCCCTTGGTCGTCTCTTTGTCTTTTCCTCCTCCTGTTTTCTTGTCCTCTTCCCCTTGTTGCCTTCTTTCCCTCTTCTCCTCCCCGTCTCCCCGTCTCCCCTCATTTCTTTGTTCTTTTCTTCCTGCCCTCCGTCCCTGCCCTCCCCGTCCCCCCATCCATGCACCCACCATCAGGGCGTGCCGCACGCACAACTTTGTGGTGTTCTTCCGCTTGGCTCGCCAGGCGTCGTACCTGCAGGCGTGCCTCATGCACGCGCACTTCAGCAAGGTGTATCTGACCGTGGACCTAATGGCATTCATCTAACGTGCGCACTCAGTGTTTCGTTTGGTTCCTCTCCTTCATTTTCTCACTGCCCTTTACCCTCCCAACCTCCTTACCTTTTCCCACATCATGCGTCAACCCACCCGGTCGCCCTTCCATTTCCATCTCTTCTTCCTTCGACCCTCCTATCGCAGCCCGCTCTCCCTCTCCTCCCAATCCCACATTCTTCAGATGCACTTGGGGGCCCTGGTAGCAGGGGTTACCGAAGCACTACTTGCATTGCAATGAGCAAAGGGCCAGTAGGTGACTTCTGAGGTGCTTATGGTGTTCCGCTCGTTATCCTCACATGCGCTCCACGGCGCTCTCAGCAACACCTCAATGGGTGGCGCGGCAGGCAGGCGTGCATCAGCGGAGGGTACCTGCATGTGCTCCTCTCTTGAACGCTTTCCGCTCTCTCTCCCCCTCGCGTCCCCCTCTTTCTTCAGATGCGCTCCCAGGCGCTCTCAGCGGTGTACGCCTCCATAGCCAAGGGGCAGCAGCTGCCGGCACACACTCTCGCGCACTGGCTCGGCATGGAGGTATGGACTGCTGGCGCAGCATGGAGGTATGGACTGCTGGCGTGGCATGTAGGTATGGACTGCTGGCGTGGCATGGAGGTATGGACTGCTGGCGTGGCATGGAGGTATGGACTGCTGGCGTGGCATGGAGGTATGGACTGCTGGCGTGGCATGGAGATATGGACTGCTGGCGTGGCATGGAGGTATGGACTGCTGGCGTGGCATGGAGGTATGGACTGCTGGTGCAGCATGGAGGTATGGACTGCTGGCGTGGCATGGAGATATGGACTGCTGGCGTGGCATGGAGGTATGGACTGCTGGCGTGGCATGGAGGTATGGACCAAGGTGCAAAAAAACGGTTTCCGTATTAAACGGTCCGTTTTTTACGGTCGTTTTATACGGCAGATTTGTGCAAATTCTACCGTTTTTTTGTTAGAGTTTTTTCTCCCCGGTTTTTTTTTTTTTTTTTTTTTACACCCTAAACTAAAAAAAACGGCTGCGAAACAGAGGGCCTGGTGGCGGCGACAGCCGACGTGCATCTAAAACACCATCCTTGTCCTCCTAGACCTCCTTTTATTGTCCTACTCGCCCTTCCTTCACCCTCCTCCTCCTAGTCCTCCTACTCTACTCCGGCTCTGCTCCTCCTCCTAATTGTCCTCCTCCTCCTCACCCTAGTCCTCCCCTTCCTCGCTCTAGTCGCTCTCCTCCTCGCCCTAGTCCTCCTCACCCTCCTCGATATAAAGCGGACTTCCGTTTTTTACGGCGGTATAAAAAAAACGACCGTATAAAACGGCCGTTTTTTTGCACCAGTCAGAAAACACCACTTTTGACCGTTTTAATCGTATTAAACGGCCGTTTTATACGATTCCGTTTTTTTTGTAAAAAAAGGTAAAAATGCCTTTTATATGCACCTTGGTATGGACTGCTGGGTTGGCATGGAGGTATGGACTTCACTCATTCTCTTCGTTCATCGCGTTATTGTCCCTCCGTGCCTCCCCTTCTCCTCGTCACCACCTACTTTCTCTTCCCGTCCCTATCCTTTCTCTTCCCCTCCCTATCCTTTCTCTTCCCCTCCCTATCCTTTCTCTTCCCCTCCCTATCCTTTCTCTTCCCCTCCTATCCTCCTCATCTCGTCCCCTTGTCCCCTTTTCCCCTTTTCCCCTTTTCCCCTTTTCCCCTTTTCCCCTTTTCCCATCTCCGTCCCCTCCACAACTGCCCACCAGCAAGAGCCTGAGAAGCTCCAGGCACTCTTGGAGCACCACGGCTTGGCTCTGCACCCCTCCTCGGACCCACACACAGATACCACCTGCCTAGATACAGCCTCCCACGGGCCATCGCTGCTAGCTGGCAGCTGTCTGGTGAAGGGCGCTCCCCTGCAACAGGCTGGGACCCCCCTCCCCCCCTCCTCCTCCGCCCTAGTGCGGAGCAAACAGAGCAGATTCATTGATGACGCCATTGCTGAGGTCAGCAGTGGGGGAGGGGGTGTGATAGGGGAGAGGGCGCAGCAGCAGGGGCTGGTGGGGCAAGTGGGGGGGCAACAGCAAGGGGAGGAGCAGCGGAGGCGGCAGCTGGTGTTGCTGCGTCAGCAGCAGCAGCAGCAGCAGCAGCAGCAGCAGCAGCAGCAGCAGCAACAGCAGCAGCAGCAGCAGCAGCAGCGACTGATGATGGAGCAAAGGAGAAGAGAGGAGCAGATCAAGGCAATGGAGGAGAAGCAGCGGGCGCTGGAGAGGGAGATGGCACGAGAGCGGGAGCGAGTGAGAGAGCTGGAAAGAAAGGCTGCGATGCAGGCACAGGCGAAGAGGCAGGAGGACGAGAGGAGGGCGAGAGAAGAGGAGGCGAGGCGGCAGAGGGAGATGGCAGCAGAGGGGGCGAGGCGGGAGGAGGAGAGGAAGGAGCAGGTGAGGCGAGAGAGAGAACGGAAGGAGATGGAGATGAGGGAGAGGATTCTGCAGGAGAGAGCGAGGGTGGAGAGGGAGAGGAGAGAAGCAGTGCAGAGGGAGAGGGAGAGGGAGGAGAGCAAGAGGAGGGAGCAGGAGAGGAGGGAGAGGGAGAGGCAGCAGCAGGAGGAGGAGGAGAAGCGGAGGAGGGCAAGGGAGCAGCAGGAGAGGGAGAGGGTGGCGCTGGAGGAGGTGGCGTGCAAGGCGCGGAGGGTGTGGCTGCGGCACGTTGCCGGGCGCTGGAGGCGGAACGCTGCCCAGCAGGGGCAGCTGCGGCGGCTGCGCCAGCTGGCAGTCAGCGATTGGCAGCTGGAGGGGTCTATAGCTTCGCAGCCTACTGTAATAGCGCCCAAGGTAGTGCACCGGTGCTGCTGGTGCCGAGAAGTTGTTGCTGCTGTAAACGATTCACTCATGTTATCATCACCCACTGAGGACCCACTTCGTGCTGTGTATGACTGCCACCACTTGCATCATCAACCCTGCCATCTCTCTTTTCACCTCTGACCTCCTTCTTCCACTTCCTCTTGTTCTCTGTGTCGCACAGCCATCGATGCTCTTCTTACCATGTTGATTGCCGTCATCTCCACCAGCACCGTGAACAGCAAGCACATGCTTTCCACATGCAGAACGCTCAACTGACCCATGTTGCTTCTCCCCTCCCACATTTTCCTCCCCACCCCCCTCTATCCCCTTCCCCCCATCCCCCCCTCTCCGCTTCTCATTTATCCTTGTCTCTCTCCCATTCTTTGCAGCAACCGGCGCACAAGCGGTTACGGGGTGCAGCAACGTGGGGAGTGCGGGCAGCAGGCAGGCCCGATGGCGACGGCGGGTCGGCACCCGAGCAGCTGCCCCGCCAGGCAGCACGTGGCGGCCGCGCCTCACCTTGGAGCGGGGCAGGCTTCGCTGCTCCCGATCCTCTGGACATGGCGCGGCTGGTGGGCGGGCGGCTCGCCGCCAGAAGGGGGACACCCAAGCCAAGGCGCCCGCTTGATGCGTCATCGTGCCGGGTTGTTTCATGGAAGCTTCTCGTCTGCTGGCCGGAGCTTGAGCAGCCGGTAGGTACCTTCCTGTGGTGCTCGGCGCTGTTAACCCTACTTTTCTTCCCACCATCCAGCTGCCGTCTGACCTTGCACCCATGTCCCATGGTCATGTCCCTGTGACATGTCTGTTGCTGTTGCGCCTCCATCACCGTTTTGAATGCCAAACGACAAGGCCTCACCTTTTATGTGGTAGTCTGTGCTGATTCGTTTCATGGCTTACCAGCCAAGGCCATGCGCCACGCCAGGTATTGAAGCCATGTCGTTTTGGTACATCCATGTGCACACACACCTATGGACCATGGGTCCGTTGCTAACCATATGCTTGATACACCCTTGTATTTCTTTGTACGAACTCGCTTTTCAGGGCGCATCGTCGCGAATCCAGGATGCCACAGCATGGCTGTGCAGCAAGCTGTCTGCCCCCTCCCATGCAGCCAACGCCCTCCAGCACTGCACACCACCTCACAGCACCACAGCAGGTGGCCCTCCCCCCACCACACAACCCGCCGCCTCACCTGCAGGGGATCCATCTCTGCTCGCCTGCTATGTGGCTCCCATGCCGCCTGCCACTGTGCGGGGGACAACAGCACAGTTGCCAGGAGATACACCAGGTGTTCTGCCAGGTGAAGAGGCACGAGCACCTGAGATAGCCTTGGACCCCGGCTCCCTATTCTGGCTCGTAGTGAGGCGGCTCTCAGTGGGGATGCAGGCAGGAGGTGGTGGAAGGTTCTTGGAAGGAGCGCAGGCGATGGTGTGTGTTGTGGACGGCAGCAGCAGTGCAGAGCCCCAGGTTCAGCGCATCAGGAACGCGGTTGCATCCCTCCCACCGTCTCTCGCTCCCATCCCCCTGCTGCTCCTCGTCCTGCCGCCCCAGCCATCACCCACACCAGCAGCACCAGCAGCACCAGCAGCAGCACTCGATTGTGCCGCCACAGGCCCCTGCGCCCCTGTGCCAGTCCCCGCCTCATTCGCCTCCCTCACTGTCTCCCATTTCCAGCCCCCCTCCTCCCCTCCACCACCCCCCCAGTCAGCTCACCCGCCCTCCCAGTCCCCTCCCCCGCCGCCACGCCTCTCTGCCCTCCGAATCCTCCCTCTAGGACGATCTACATCCCCCACACCTGATGATGTGTCCTTTCCTGATTGGCCCGCCAAGATAGCCCTGACAAGTGGACTGTGCTGGTTGGCTGATTCCTCCCCAATGCCACCTCAGCTTGCTCCAATCCACCTCCGCGACCTCGTGATTCGCCACCTGTCGCCACGTGTTACGCGGCTATTGGCCGTGGACCCATCCCTGGTGCGCCCGCAGGAGTGCATTGGAGAGTTCAACGCCAGCCTGGATTGCGCAGCCAATGACATCGCGACAGCTGTCGCGGCCTCACCCTCCTCCAGTGGCAACCCTTTGCCTGAGCTGGCTGCTGTTCTGCAGCTGGTGCAAGAGAGCAGAGGCGAAAATAGGCGAGGAAGCCAAGGGGAAGACACAGTAGGAAGCAGGAGCAGTGAGGGTGGTGACAGGAGAAGCAAGGAGGGTAGTGAAGCTCTTGAGGCAGCAGCCAGAGTGGCATCTCTACTATCCGCCTCCATGTCCCCCGAGGGGTGGAACACCCTTGCCCGCACCTCCCACCTCACCACCGCCCTCTCCTCCCTCCACTTGCCGCAATTCCCCGCCCTCCACCTCTCCTCCTCTCACTCCCTTCCCGTCGCCACCCCCTCCTCGTCCCCCTCGCCCTCCCCATCCCTCCCCCCCCACCTCTCCTCGCTTTCCCCCCAGCTGGCCCCACTCTCCTCCGCGCTCACCTCCTTCCTGCGCCTGGTGCAGGGCGCCCATGCGCCCCCTGTGCTGCTTGGGGAGCACGTGCAGCAGCTGCTGGCCGAGGGGTGCGGAGTGGTGTGGAGGAGTGGGGGGGAACTAGGGGAGCAGAGGGGGCCGAAGCAGCAGGGGAGAGGATGGGAGAGAGGGGGGAGCAGAGAGCAAGGAGGTGTGGGGAGTGAGAGGGGTGCAGGGCGGTTGTGTGCGGTGCCTGTGTGGCCTCGGATTCTCCTCCCTGTGTTCACCCGTCGCCTCGATGCTCTCTTCACAGACCCTCCCCTCACTGCCTTGGTCCTCGCCCCCGCCGCTCCTCAAATGCCTGCTTCTCACTCTCTCACTCCCTCTGCTCCACCTGGTGCTGTGGGAATCGCAGCTTTTGGAGAGGACATGACTATGGCAAGCGATGCGGTGGCAAGTGGTGTAGTGGGTATCGGTGTGGTGGAATTGGTCGACAACATGCTGCCTGTGAGTGCAGTAACGAGGGTGGGAGGGCCCATGGGGACTGGCATGGGAGGCAAGCGCATGCGCAGTGGCAGCGCATGGATGGGCGGCGCTGCTGTAGCGAGTGCAGGTGATGGTGCTCTCGAGGACGAGGCAGAGGTAGAGGGGGAGGACGAGGCAGAGGTAGAGGGGGAGGACGAGGTTGCAACATTAACGGAGCTTCCGCCGTTGCTTGCAGCAGCACCAGCACCAGCAGCAGCTGCTGCTTCCATACCTTACCGAGGTCATCCTAGCAGCAGAGTGTGGCATGCTGGCAACGTGCCAATCCCTGGACTGCCCACTTCCATCAACATGCTCCGCTCCTCCGCCCCTTCCTATGCTGCCGTTGCTGCCCTAGGCCCTCGCACCTCTCGCACCACATCTCACCCCCCTCCCTCCCCTTCTCCCTCCCCGCCTCCGCCTCTGCTGCAGCTCCCCCCTCCATCCACCCATGCTGCACCCATCAGCTCCCATCCCAATCCCAATCCCCCACACCCCAATCCCTCACTCTCGCACCTGTCTCAGACCTCACAGAACCTGACCTCTTCTCTCTCCCACCCCTCTCAACGCCTCTCAGCCCCACTCCTGCCGTTACCATCATACACTCATGCGGGCCCTACCCTCCCTGGGCGAACCTCCCTCCCCCTTTACAAGCCCGGCTCTCACTCCCTTTATAAGCCTGTTCCTCAGCACGCATGGGAGCGTGGCCTTCAAGTGAAGCGCAAGGCACCAACGAGTGCATGGGGTGGAGGGGGTGAGGGCGATTGGAGAGGGGAGGTGATGGAAAGGGGAGGGGTGGAGAGGAAAGGATCTGAGAGAGGATGGAGAGAGAGAGAGGTGAGGGAGAGAGAAGGGAAAGGGGCAGAGCAGTGGCTCGGCCCAGGAGGCAGCAGGCTGAGGCTGGCAGAGGCTGATGATCTGGTGGCCAATGAGATGCTGCCACGTGGCATTGTACGAGCTGCGGATGTGCTATATGCAAGTGGTCTTGGTGAGGGTTTTCCTCAAGTTGGCCAAGCTACCCGCTTAGGCAGCCGAGCTGCCAATGCCGGGGAGAGTGTTGCGGGTCTCAGTGATGGTGCTCTCAGAGGGGTTGACGGCGCTGATGCTGGTGACCGGGCGGGAGGGTTGTTGGGTGCAGGTGCAAACGAGCGAAGAGTGAAAGAGATGGTGGAAGAGTTAATGAGAAGTAGACAGGCGGTAGCATGATTGTGAGTAGCATCTTATTTTTTAGGGAATCTTGGTAGAGGAGATGATTCCTACATGTTGCAACGCTGGCACTGGCTTGCCAGATTCTCAGGGCAGTTTAGCCTACGTTAACTGAGCAGGCTGGTTCTGCCCAGAGAAATGTCAACTTATACATATTATCTATGTAGAAGTTATAGGCTAGACTGAGGTATGCTTCTAGTGAGTACAACCAACTAGTATTTGTTCTAGGTTTCCACCTCTAGTAATCATTCGTTTCTACGTTAACATGGTATCACGCTTAGGTTAGGATCCCCCCGCCTACCGCTTCCGCCCGTCGCGCCTCCTAGGCCCCGTCGCGCCCCCTAGGCCCCGTCGCGCCCCCCCTGGGCCCCGTCGCGCTCGTTAGGCCCCGTCGCGCCCCCCCTGGGCCCCGTCGTGCCCGCTGGGCCCCGTCGCGCCTCCTAGGCCCCGTCGCGCTCCCCTTGGGCCCCGTCGCGCCCGCTGGGTCCCGTCGCGACCCCTAGGCCCTAACGCGCCCCCGCTGGGCCCCGTTGCGCCTCCTAGGCCCCGTCGCGCCCCCCATGGGCCCCGTCGAGCCCGCTGAGCCCCGTCGTGCCTCCTAGGCATCGTCGCGCCTCCTAAGCCCCGTCGCGTCCCCCCCCTCTGGGCCCCATCGCGCCCGTTCGGCCCCGTCGCGCCCCTCCTAGGCCCCGTCGCGCCCGCTGGGCCCCTTCGCGCTTCCTAGGCCCCGTCGCGCCTGCTAGGCCCCGTCGCGCCCCCCCCTGGGCCCCGTCGCGCCCGTTAGGCCCCGTCGCGGCCCCCCTGGGCCCCGTCGTGCCCGCTGGTCCCCGTCGCGCCTCCTCGGCCCCGTCGCGCCCCCCCTGGGCCCCGTCGTGCCCGCTGGGCCCCGTCGCGCCCCTTAGGCCCCGTCGCGCCCGCTGGCCCCTGTCGCGCCTGCTGTTAGCGCTCGCCCGCCTGGCCTCCTCCTAGTGCCGCTCGGCCTCCTCCTAGTGCCGCCCGGCCTCCTCCTAGTGCCGCCCGGCCTCCTCCTAGTGCCGCCCGGCCCCTTCCTAGCGCCGCCCGGCCTCTCCTCAGCGCTGCCCGGCCCCTCCTCGTGCCCGACCGGCCCCAGCAGCACCAGCCTGGCCCCTCCCAGCACCAGCCCGGCCCTAGAGCACCTGCCCGCCTCCCCTGCTCGGCCTGCCGTGTCCTCTCGGGCCCTGTGTCTTCTGCTTGCCTGCGCTGGGACGCCTAGCTGCTGCCCTACTGGAGAGTGCTGCCGCCGTGTCCCCGCGCCGCTGTGCTCCTGTGCCGCTGAGGAGCTGTGCTGCTGTGCCGCTGTGTCGCTGAGGAGCTGTGCCGCTGACCCTGCACGATGGCTGACTTTGTGCTCCGCCTGGACGCTGAGGGCCACGCGGTTGACTTCGCCGCCTGGCTCTCCGATCTTCGCCGCCAGCTTACAGGTCAGCGCCAGGATGGCCACTCTCTGGTTGTCCATGCTGATGGCTTGCTCCCCCGTCCCCCTGCACCTACTCCCCTCCCTGCTGACCCCTCCTCTGATGACCGTGAGGCTTTCTCTACTGCTGCGCTAGCCTGTGCGGTCTGGGACTCACGCGATGCAGTAGCTCAGGTTGCTATTAGTCACGCCCTCCCTGTGTCTGAGCGCTCGCGTTTTGCTACTGTTGAAACGGCCAAAGCTTATTTAGACGCCGTTATTGCTCGCTATTCCACCCCTGCCTCCGCTTCTGCTGGCCGCTTGCTCTTTCCGATGCTGTTCCCAGACCTGGCTGCCTTCCCTACTGTCGCAGATTTTGCCACTCATTTGCGTGCCCTAGAGACTCGCTATCGCACTGCCAGCACTGCTGCCCAGCTCACTGCGCTCCCCCCTCCTTTCTGCATGACGCTCTATTTTATCGCTATGCGCCTGCCAGACCGCCTCGCTAGTGCTCGCGACCACTTTCTTAGCCAGCACCCGGGTGACCTCACCCTCACCGCCTTTGTCGACACCCTCACTGAGATCGAGACTCGCCAGCGCACTATCGCTCAGTCGAGCGGTGCGCCGGCAGTCTCTATCTTTCACGGTTGTGCCTCATCCCCGTGCACGTTCACTGACGTTTCGGCTGCGGTCGCCACGGCGACCCCTCTTACCGAGACGGCTGCTGCTGTCCACCCGCAGCAGCGCTCGCGTCGCGGTGGCCGTGGCCGCCAGGGAGGTAGGGGTGGTGACGCAGGTGGTAGTGGTCGTGGTGGTGGTGACGGTAGTCCGCCTGAGGGGACTACCACCGGTGGGCAGGAGCAGCAGTCCCAGCAGCAGCAGGACCAGCCCCAGCCGCAGCCGCCGTCCCAGCAGCACCCGCCGCAGCCGTGGGCTCGTCTCCCGCCTGGTTGGCCCGGCACCTCCGGAGGCGGTGGCCGTGGTGGCGGCCCGCGCAGCTTGGCGTCTACCAGTGGCTCCAGTGCTGTGACCTGCCAGTACCAGCTTCAGACCGGGCCTCTCCGCGGCACTCTGTGCCGCCGCCCGCACCCGACCGCCCACTGTTTCCGCCGCCTCGACGATCTTTTTCGTCGTCGCTTTGGCCCGGCCCCGGACCTCCCTGACTGGCACAGCCTGCTCCGCCAGGGCGTGCCGATCTTTGAGTTAGACATGGATCAGATAGGTGCTGCTTTGCATGCTTTGTATGCTGACGCTTCTAGTGTTGATGGATCTTACTACCATGTGTACTCTAGTTTAGGTGTTTCACCCTTGTGTAGCTTAGCTTCCCCTGCTGCGACAGGCGTAGGACTGCCTAGGTTGCCTAGTCTAGTCGCTGCACCGGCTCCGTCCGCGGCCTCCGCCACTGCGTCGCTGTCCTTCACTCTCGACTCTGGTGCTTCTGCCTGCTTCTTCCGCGACCGTTCCACGCTCACGCCGCTTGCTGCACCTGCTGTTGTCTCTCTCGCTGACCCCTCTGCGGGTCCGGTCGTCGCGCGCAGTTCTACGTCCCTTCCCTGTCCGGCAGTTCCCTCGGGCTCCCTTACAGGCCTCCACGTTCCCTCGTTCTCCAGGAACCTGGTTGGTGTCGGCTGTCTCCAGGACCTCGGCGTCACCACCACGTTCCCTGGGCACGAGCGGTTCGCTGTCTGTTCTGAGGCTGTCTCAGGTTCCCCCCTTGCGACGTTCCCCCGGGACCCGGTGTCCGGTCTGTTTACCCTACACACCGCTTCCCCCCCGGTTGGTGCGTCCTCCCAGGTCGCTGCAGCTTGCTCGTGTCGGTCCCTCACTCACCCCTCCCTTCTCTGGCACCACCGCTTAGGTCACCCTGCTCTCCCGCGTCTGCGTCACATGTCCCAGCACGGTCTTGTCTTAGGTCTCCCCGCGTCGCTCCCTGCCCTTCCTCCCTCGACTGCGCCACCGTGCACGCCTTGCGTCGAGGGTCGGCTCCGCCGTGCTCCTCACTCCTCCTCGCTGCGTCCTGCTACTGCCCCCCTTCTGACCCTGCCCGTCCTCTGTCCGTCGGGGGTGCTCCTGCCCTTGGCAGTGACGTCCTAGAGGACAGGCAGTACGAGCTGGCTTTCCTTTCCGAGGCTGCTCCCCATCTCTGCTCCATGCTGTTAGTCCCTGAGGGTGACCCAGACGCCTTCGACATCCCGACCCCTCGCACCTACGCTGAGGCCACCTCGGGACCTTGGGCCTCTCAGTGGATAGCTGCCATGGAGCAGGAGATGGCATCTTGGAGATCCACCGGCACTTACGTCGACGCAGTTCCCCCGCCTGGGGTGAACGTAGTCGATGGTCGGTGGCTCTTCAAGGTGAAGCGCCCCCCTGGAGAGCCGCCTGTCTTCAAGGCGCGCTACGTGGCCAGAGGTTTCAGTCAGCGCGAGGGGGTTGACTTCTTCCAGACCTTCGCCCCGACCCCGAAGATGACCACTCTTCAGGCGCTGCTACACGTAGCAGCACAGCGTGACTACGAGCTTCACTCCCTCGACTTCTCTACTGCCTTTCTTCAGGGCAGCCTACACGAGCAGGTCTACCTGCGCCGACCACAGGGCTTCACTGGTACCTTCCCTCCTGGGACCCAGTGGCTTCTCAGGCGCCCGGTCTACGGCCTGCGTCAGGCTCCCCGCGAGTGGCACGACACGCTACGTGCCACGTTAGCAGACCTGCAGTTCTTTCCGTCCTCTGCTGACCCTTCACTGTTTGTGCGTTCCGGCCAGACTCCGTTCTACATCCTTGTCTACGTAGACGACCTGGTCTTCGCTACTCCTGACAGGGACGCACTGGCCTCTGTGAAGGCTGAGCTGCTGAAGAGACACACCTGCACTGACCTTGGAGAGCTGCGTCGCTATCTTGGCCTGCAGATCTCTAGGGACAGAGCAGCACGCACTATCACTCTGACCCAGTCACACTTGGTGCGTCAGGTCCTTCAGAGGTTCGGTCTTCAGTTCTCCTCCGCACAGCCCACACCTCTACCGGTAGACCATGGGCTCTCTGCTCCCGTTCCTGAGGAGCCAGTAGAGCCCAGTGGCCCCTACGCAGAGCTGGTGGGTTGCCTCATGTACCTGATGACTTGCACTCGCCCAGATCTCGCATACCCTCTCAGCATCCTGGCTCGCTTTGTGGCTACAGGCAGACACCGACCTCAGCACTGGTCTGCCGCTAAGAGGGTTTTGCGTTATCTTGCTAGTACATCAGGCATGGGGTTAGTGCTAGGAGGACGCAGGCCAGTGGTCCTTACTGGGCACACAGACGCTTCTTGGGCAGACGACGCTGAGACGCTCAGGTCGTCGCAGGGCTACTGTTTCAGCCTTGGTTCGGGTGCTATCTCTTGGAGATCCACTCGCTCGTCGTCTGTGGCTCAGTCTAGCTGTGAGGCTGAGATCTACGCTGGTGCCATGGCGGCACAGGAGCTCCGCTGGCTGACCTTCTTGCTCACAGACTTAGGTGAGCGGCCTAGCTCTGCCCCGGTCCTGTACGCTGACAACAGGGCCATGATACTCCTGTGTCAGGAGCCTCGGCTTGAGGGCAGAGCGAAGCATATCCAGCTGCGGTACTTCCTCCTGCGCGAGCTACAGCAGCGCCGCCAGGCCCGCGTAGTTCACTTGGCCTCAGGTGCCAACACAGCTGATATCTTTACTAAGGCGCTTGCGCCTAAAGATCATCAGCGGCACTGTGTACAGCTTGGTCTTGTTCCTATAGCTGCTCCCCTGTTAGGATCCTGATTGTGTACTCTCTATTATATATGCTTGTCAGACTGGCCTTGTGGCCTTACCTCCAGTGGCTGGACTAGTAGTGCCACCCTGGCTTGCTTCAGTTTTGGTTGTATTCTTGCTGACTGGTCTCCAGACCCCTGCCTCAGTGGTTGGACTAGTAGTGCCGCCCTGAGCTGTTTGCTTCTTGTTTAGTTTCACCCCTTGTCTAGCCTAGGGGGTGTGTCAACTTATACATATTATCTATGTAGAAGTTATAGGCTAGACTGAGGTATGCTTCTAGTGAGTACAACCAACTAGTATTTGTTCTAGGTTTCCACCTCTAGTAATCATTCGTTTCTACGTTAACAAGAAATGCCCCCAGCCATTGCTTCACCGGAGGTTGGAACCAGGCCCCTAGATTGCAGGAAAATTTTCCTGATTCAGGAAAAAAACAGACCCCGTTGGCGGGCCGGTCCTGATTGCGTAGGGTTTTTTTTGTTCGGCATCCTGTTTTTTCAGCGGTTTTTTTGTAGTGAACTCTGATCACTCCGCATGGTTTATGTAACGCGTCCTGAAATTTCTGACACTCTAATGCGTACGCGTCCTGATTTTGTCAATACCGGGATTTGCGCTCCCCGCTCTCCCCCCCCCCCCCCCCCCCCTTCCCCCCACGTGTTTCCCTCAAATCATGTCAAGGTCCCTGAAATTTCGCCCAAGTTACCGACCAGCCGAGTCATATGCTGCCCAGCTCACTGCACGGTGACAACTGATTGGCTTAGGGCGGAACCTACAGCACAGCTGTATACTGAAGGCATCGATGTTGCACGATCTGATTGGTGCTAAGGCAAATGTGGTATCGTCAGCCAGTAACAAAGCCTACCGTTGCGCCAGCACACTGGTGCTGTCATGCAGAGCGGGTGACAATGAAGCAACAGATGCATGCATTGCGCTGGCCTCTCGAATGAAGGCCAGATGCAGCCCCATTGTCGTCTCTCCATTCGAGTCGAATCGCGCCCCCCTTTCTTGTCGAGGTCATTCTTACGTTGGGGCAAAATTGCCCCTCTCACTGACTCGTTGCCTAGCTTTCTTCTCAGTCTCACCTGTCGTGCAAGAAGCCCTCCATCGTCTCTCTCACGTTGATCGCTCTACTGCCCCCCACGTCGCCATGGCTGACGCCGGCGACGAGGCTCCTGAGGACGATGCTGACGGCCATGTCGCAGCTATGGCCGATGCTCGATCAGGGCTAGACATGCTACTGTCTAGCCTGTCTTCGCTACGCAGCAATCCTAGAGCAGTAGAGGCCCGTGTAGCACCCACCACCATCAATGGAAGAGCGGGCATCCTTACGATGCCCGCAGTCAGAAATACCCCACCCGCAGTAGCGCGACTGCAGCCGATCCACCCAGCAAGCGCTTCCTCCCCAGAGGCTGTGCAAGCAATGCCACCTGGCTGCTGGAGTCTTCCCGTTCCGGTTCATGCTGCAGAAATTTCGGTACCTGGTCCGTCGACGTTCCAACCCGCAGACAGCGCCTCTCCAGCGGCTGTCCCGCCAAAGTCTGCCGCGCGTGTGAGTCGAGACAGCACAGTCCCCGTTGCCGAATCCCCACCCCCAGCTGTACCCGGGCCGTCGTCTACTCAGCCCGCTTACGACTCCTCTCCTGCGTCTGTCTCTCAGCGGCCTTGTGGGCGCTACCGGCAGGCTGTTCTGCCATTTGGTCAGCCCAAAGTGAAACAGCCATCACCGCCCGATGAAGAAGCTGCCGACGCCGACGATGTTGACGACACCCCAAACAGGTCGTCGACCAAGACAACGAGTTCTGAGGAGCAGTATGCGGAGGCTCACAGCAGGTTTAAGACCCGTTGGTCGACGCGATTCCCGTGGCTTGTCATTTTAAAGACTGACTCCGGCTTGCCTGCCTTTAAGTGCACCCTATGCTTGGAGCACGCAGGTCTTTCTGGGAAGGCTGGCAAGCGTGGCCCAGGCCTATGCGATGCTCAGACTCAGGCGTTCACACGGCATTCGGGGTCCGGCAAGCACCAACTCGCTCTGCAGAAGCAGAACGATCTGCTGCAACAGGCAACCAGACAACAACGCATCGATCAACATCCCCTTGCCGGGGACCTTGAGAGGGAGCGCGTCACTGCCCTGCTGGACGCCTTGTGGTTCTGCTGCAAGACTAACGAGCCGGCCGAGACATGGATCCGGCTCGTTCAGTACCTGGCGTCGCGGAAGGTGACGGGTTTCCCGCAGCAGGCCTACGGCACGTACTACAACACGTGAGTATACAATCATCACCGCTTAGCTACGGACTTCATTCTGTTAATGCCCTCTATGTTCTCTGATTATTTAGACCCTCCGAATGGTGCGCGTCTTAGGTTGCACGTCGTACTTACAGTGTGTGTTAGTCCATGTGAACCGTGCAGGTACGGATTCGGCGAATTCACACTAGCAACGGCAACCTGGCTCCAAACAACGCAGCTTCACCACCTTCTGTCGAGTCCTTACATCGGCCTCATGCTGGACGAGAGCACCGACCGCTGCCGAGGGAAGCACTTGATTGTGTACGCCCACTTCATCCGTGACAACCGGCTGGTGTGCGAGTACCTGGCCTTGCTGACGGTGGACAAAGCCGATGCGTCTTCACTGCTCGCCCTACTGCTTACCCACCTGAACGCCATTGGGGTGGATCTCCAGCGAGTCTCCGGGATCAGCACTGATGGGGCGGCTGTCATGATGGGGTCGAAGAGTGGGCTTGTTACTCGACTGCGCCAGCAAGTGCCTCACCTTGTGTCGTGTCACTGTATTGCGCATAGGTAAGATATGTCATCCTGAGTACAAGAGTTAACGCCGTCTTCAACTTTGCTTGCAATATGCTAATGTATTGGTTTCACGTTTTGTCATGCAGGGAGGCTTTGGCAGCCAAGGCAGCATCAGAGGCGCTTCCGGTGTTTCAAATTGTGGATGACTTCATCAAGGAGCTGGCGGAGTACTTCGGAAGATCCGGCCCGTGGCACCAGCGCTTTCTCGACTTGCAAGACCTGTTCCTCTCGACAACCTTGGAGCTCCAGGGTATTCACAACATTCGATGGTTGTCGAGAGGTGAGGCAATCTCGAGGTTGCTGGCGGTGTTGCCTGCGCTTGTGGTTATGCTCAAAGAGTTCCCCGACAACAGGCTCTACAGAATTGCGACCAGTTACCGCTTCTGGTTCTTCGTCCACTTCCTTGCTGACGTCCTCGAGCAGCTCAACATCCTCAACAAGGGCTTTCAGGAGCGCGAGGTGAGATAACAATTGCATTAGCGTGGTGGTATACTTGCGGACGTCACTTTATATTGTTGTCCTACCTTGCTTGCCCCCGACCTTCCCCCATCCCCCCATCAGCTGGACTACCTGACCGTCCACGCGTCCGTCCTTCGCATCACCAGCCTGTTCCTGAGCCGCTACGTCGATTGCGGGGATGAGTTCGGGGGTGGCCCGAAGGACCGTCTCACCAACTTCCTCACCCTTCATGGTCCTGGCGGTTCTCGCGAGGTCACTGTCAGTGGCGTGGACTCCGACGGGAGTCTCACGAGCTTCACATTTGAGCTTCACGTTGACACGCTGCAAGGGTACCCTGGGGGAGGGAAGCATGACAACTGCGTGGTGGCTTGCATGGACCTGGCGGAAGGGATGGTGAATAACCTGAACGAGCGCCTCGGGGATCTTCGCAAGCTGGCGGGGGTAAAGCTGTTCTGCGTTTCTGCCTGGCCGAAGGACTGGGATCGGCATGCGAGGAGGGTGCAGTGCTTGGAATGGTTCCACTCTTTGGTGGGGCTGTACAACGCGGAGCAGAGGAACGAGATCCTTCCAGGTGAACTCGTTACCATTAAACCCACCGACATGTACCATTGTACAACTGAGACTGTTGCACATGTGTTGTCTCTTTCTCTCAGTTGACTGTCTCCACCATAACCTTACACCACTCCCCCGACCTCTTTTCCCGTCTGTGGCAGGCATCGACAAGCGCCAAGCACTGCGGGAGTTGCCACACTTCACCCCGATCCTTGCTGCACTTCCGAAGAGCGAAAAAAGCTTCCACGCTGGCCTCACTGCGATGCTGAAGACAGCAGACTGGCAAGATGCCTACCCCAACCTCATGAAGCTGTGGGTGGCAGTGGCCGTGCTTCCGCTGAGCACGGTGGAATGTGAGCGGGGATTCTCACGACAGAATGTCATCAAGTCGTGGCTGCGGGGCAGCCTGAAGGACACACGGCTGAGCGATCTCATGTGCATCAGTCTGCTCGATTATGAGCCAAACTGGGACGAGGTGGTGGATGTGTGGCGGGCATACAAAAAGAGAAAGCCTTTCAGTACCGTGGCACAACCTAGGCTGCTCAGGTATAAGGGAAAGGAGGTGGTGGAGGAGGGACCTGTAGAAGTGTCGTCGACCATGGATTTTGCCATGGATGAATGAGATGCTTTATAAGTCTTAAATATGAATCATTGCTGGATCCGCTTTAACTACGTATTGCAAGCTTTGATGTGTGATATGATGTGATGTGATGTGATCTTCCAATGCAAAAAGCACCACGGTCATGCAGGACCCTAAATGTAAGGAACCCTGAAAAAACAGGCATCTTTTCAAAAGCTGTCCTGACTCATAAGCTTGGTTTCCACTAGGCGTCCTGAAAATACAGGCAAAAAACGAGCGCCACCCCTGAGTCATCAGGAGGCCTCAAAACCAATCTAGGGGCCTGGTTGGAACTCTAACACAACCTTCCCTTATCTGCAGCTATGGTAATGTACCTGTGAGGACCATTCGTCATGCCCCACCACATCGGAATCTAAGGCAATAGGCCATAACATAAATACATGAGTCGGGGGTGTTCCGAGAATTGAACTCGGGACGTCTCGCACCCTAAGCGAGAATCATGCCACTAGACCAAACACCCACACATTTGCAGCTTCTGTTTTTATTCAATAAAAATACAGAGCATTCTCAGCGCTGTTTTTCGTTCGTCTCGAAGGCGTTTTACATGCGTGCTGCAGCTGCTGCAACAACTCCTCCACTCACCTCCCATCCGTCCATCTCTTTCCCTCTTTCCCGCCTCAATGCAATGGCCTCGTCGTCCAGAAACGAGGCAACTCCAGTGTGTAACGCGCGAGGCACCATCGGACGGAGAGGAGCGCATGGGACGGCACGAATCTCCCACGTCGCTCCTCATGCCTCGGTCCCATCCACCTCGAGGCTGGCCCTCCCATCCCGGACGTGCATTTATAGCGTGCCTTCTTTCTGCACTTACCGTCAGCTGATTTCCCCGTCAGCTGATTTCCCCGTCAGCTGATTTCCCCGTCGGTCCTGCTACCGGAAGAGACGTCCGTCAGAACCACGCGGATCAAGCCGCCGTCGCCGCCAGCATGGCCGCCCACCGCGCGACTTCGACGCCGATTCCTCCTTTTGCGCTGCTCATTCTGGGCCTGGCGCTGCTCGGCTTATCCTGGCCGTCCATCGCGTCGTCCAGGCACCTGCTGCAGGATCCAACGGCGGGGAGCGCGTGGGCGTTCGGCAGCGGCGTGACATTCAATTCGATGCAGAACGTGGGCGTGCTGGACGGCGGCGCCATCGCGCTCACCCTCGACCTCGCGGGCGGTGAGTTGCCCCGTTCCCTCGCGCCGTGTGGGAGCCGACCGTTTGAGTCACCGCGCTCAAAGCCAGGGCGCTCAAAGCCATGATGGCGCTCAAAGCCATGATGGCGCTCAAAGCCATGGCGCTCAAAGCCGTGGCGCTCAAAGCCGTGGCGCTCAAAGCGACGGGGCCATCGCGCCCACCCTTTATCTGGATGGTTGAGTCAGCGGCAAGCTGCCTGATGGTCGAGAAACCTGTCACCCTTCCTCAACCTGTCACCCTTCCTCAACCTGTCACCCTTCCTCAACCTGTCACCCTTCCTCAGTGTCACAATAGGACCAAAGGTCGCTTGAAGTCGTAGGAGGGCATTTAAGATTGCACACCATTGACCGGGTGGGTGGGGGGGGGGAGGGGGGGGGGTTGTGAGTCAGTGGCAAGCACATCTGGGATGCAAGCGCTTGGAGGTGGAGTCAGTGTGAACACGTGACAGTGGGAAACCTGTTGTTGAGAGCAGGGAAGCCATGCTTGCGCCAGCCAGGAAGCGGGGCGACCGCGGCTCATGACAAACTCCTTGGAAGCATCCACGTTGTGCGTGTGCAGGAGCGGGGTTCGAGTCCAGCGACACCTTCAGCTTCGGCACGTTCAGCGTGGACGCCATGATGCCCGCTGGCTACTCCGCTGGCGTCTGCGCCACCTTCTTTGTACGTTCACCATGCCCATATCGCTTGCAATCCCCCTCATTCCTCGGATTTGCATGCGCGCACACACGCCTGATCCATCTGCCTCTCCCATCCCATGTCCCTGCTCCACGTGAATCCGACCCTTACTGCGCGCACCTCTTGCTGCACGTCACCGTTGCTGCCTGTTGCCCCCATGCAGCTGCAGTCAGGGGACTACGCGCAGCGCAACGAGTTGGACTTTGAGTTCCTGGGGTCGCCCAACTCGTCGGCAGGCATGACGCTGCAGACCAATGTGTTCATGGCCGGTGTGGGCGAGCAGGAGCACCTCTCCGCCTTCGGCTTCGACCCCGCCGCCGCCTTCCACACGTACACCATCCAGTGGGGCCCCGACCAGACAGTGTAAGGGCCGGCACCCCGAAGCCATGTGTCCTTGGTCATGGTTGTGCAGCATGGGAGTGACATGCAGCATTCTGCATGTGCGCCATGCTCTTCCTGGTTCCTGTTTTGAACCAAAGTCACATGCTGCTCACCGTGATTGCACTCCCAGATGGCTGGTGGATTGAGAGACCAGGTGTGTGGTGCGGTGGGCAGCAGCAGCCCCTGCTACCCTCTGACCCCATGAGGGTGCACTTCAGCATGTGCCTCGGCTTTCACATGCTGCCCGCTAAGCATGCAGGTGGCTGGTGGACGGAGAGAGCCGGCGTGTGGTGGGCAGCGGCAGCCCCAGCTACCCCAGGGACCCCATGCGCGTGTACTTCAGCATCTGGGACGCCTCCACGTGGGCCACAGGGCCCAGGACTGCGCGCATTCCCGTCGACTACAGCCGTGCGGTGAGTGCTTTGCCGCTGGCTGGTTCGCAATATGCTCTGCCATTTCATTAGGCCCTTTTCTCGATGATGGATTCTGATTTACCTGTTGGGTTCCCTTTGCATGCAGCCGTTTGTTGTGACGTTCAAGAACTTCAAGTTCATTGCAGCTTGACCGGTGCTGCTGACATCCCTGTGTGACACGAGGATCGGAGGATTGTGTGGGGTGGTGTGGTGTGCGTTTTGTCAACTTATACATATGATGTTCTGTAGAAGTTATAGGCTAGAATGGTGTATGTTCTTAGTGGGTACAACCCCAACACTATATCTCCCCTGCACTCCCTTGTTTCAATCATTCTACCAGTATTCTAACACGTATGGCATCGCAAGTGGTCCATTGTAAGCAGGCCTCTCGACATCAGGGTAAAATAGGTTGATGACCCTTACTAAAAGGGTGGGGTGTGGGTTGGTTGGACCCATATTTGTTTGAGTATTTTTGGCCAAGTCCCTTAGGGGAAAAGGCAAAATTTGTATAACCCTTATTTGTAAGACTGCTTGAGTGTATGTATGTACGCTGATGCGGAAAAGCGCCCCTGGGGCCAATCTTTATACAGGCACACATGTTGTCAAACATGTGTATTTGTCATGTTTGTATAGACTGTATAGGGTCCCCTCTTAGAGAGTACAACACTTAGGTATATCTGTGTGTACTCTCACTCTATCTATCATTCACTTCTCAATTCTGATATGGTATCACGCGTAGGTAGGATCCCCCCCCCACCCACCGCTTCCGCTTACCCCTCTAGCCCCTAGCCCCGTCGCGACCCCCCTAGCCCCGTCGCGCCCCATCCTGGGCCCTGTAGCGCCCCTCCTGGGCCCCGTCGCACCCCTCACTGGGCCCCGTCGCGCCCCTCCCAGGCCCGGTCGCGCCCCTCCTAGGCCCTGTAGCGCCCCTCCTGGGCCTCGTCGCGCCCCTCCTGGGCTCCGTAGCGCCCCTCCTGGGCCCCGTCGCGCCCCTCCTGGGCCCCGTAGCGCCTCTCCTGGGCCCCGTCGCGCCCTTCCTGGGCCCTGTAGCGCCCCTCCTGGGCCCCGTCGCGCCCCTCCCAGGCCCCGTCGCGCCCCTCCTGGGCTCCGTAGCGCCCCTCTTGGGCCCCGTCGCGTCCCTCCTGGGCCCCGTAGCGCCCCTCCTGGGCCCCGTCGCGCCCTCCCTGGGCCCTGTAGCGCCCCTCCTGGGCCCCGTCGCGCCCCTCCCAGGCCCCGTCGCGCCCCTCCTAGGCCCCGTAGCGCCCCTCCTGGGCCTTGTCGCGCCCCTCCTGGGCTTCGTAGCGCCCCTCCTGGGCCCCGTCGCGCCCCTCCTGGGCCCCTGTAGCGCCCCTCCTGGGCCCCCGTCGTGCCCCTCCTGGGCCCCGTAGCGCCCCTCCAGGGCCGCGTCGAGCCCCCCCCTCCTGGGCCCCGTCACGCCTTCAGGCCCCGTCGCGCTCGCCCGGCCCCGTCGCCCCAGCCCGGCCCCGTCGCACCTGCCCGGCCCCGTCGCAGCCGCCCGGCCCCGTCAAACCGGTCCGGCCCCGTCGCGCCCGCCCAGCCCCGGTGCGCCCCTCCTGGGCCACCGTCCTGCTCGCCCGGCCCCGTCGCACCGGCCCGGCACCGTCGCACCAGCCCGGCCCCGACGCACCCGCCCGGCCCCGTCGCACCAGCTCGGCCCCGTCGCGCCCGCCCGGCCCCGTCGCGCCCGCCCGGCCCCGTTGCACCGGCCCGGCCCCTGCGCTCGTCCCTGCCCCGGCCCCGGTCCTCCTCACTGGTACGGTTTCCCCCCCCCCTCCCCCGCCCTGCACTGCCCTGCACCGTACTGCCCCGCACTGCACCGCCCCGCACCACCCTGTACTGCCTGGCACCGCACTGCACCGCCCTACACCGCACTGCATCGCACTGCATCGCACTGTACCGCACGGCACCGCACTCCACCTTGCTGCACTGCCCTGCACCGCACTGCACTGTTCCTGATGGCGGCGGAGCTTCGCTTCGACGCTGAAGGCAAGCCTCTAGAGTTCGAGGCGTGGCTTGCCGACCTCCGTCGCCAACTCACTGGCCAGCGGCAGGATGGTGAACCGCTCTCCGCACACCTTGACGGTACGCTCCCCTGCCCAGGCCCCCCTGCTATTCTGCCCGCTGACTCCACACCCATTGAGCGCGAGTCCACTGCTGCCACTGCCCGTGCGCGCTTTGTCTGGCTTTCTCGCAATGCTGTCGCCCAGCTTGCCATCAGCAACGCCCTTCCCCCGTCCGAGCGCCCTCGCTTTAGGTCTCTCACCACTGTTCAGGCATACTTAGATGCTATCATCCAGCGCTATTCCACCCCTCCGGCTGCCTCGGTGGGTCGCCTGATCCTCCCGATGCTCTTTCCTGACCTTGCATCTTTCCCCACTGTCTCTGACCTCGCTGCCCACCTGCGCTCGATAGATGAGACCTGGCGTGCAGCCTGCACTGATGCACAGCTTAGAGCCCACCAGCCGCCCATTACCTCTACCCTCTACCTGCTTGCCACCCGCCTCCCTGACCGCCTTGCTGTCGCCCGCGACCGCTTCCTTAGCATTCACCCCGCAGACCTCACCCTCACTGACTTTGTAGACACCCTGACTGTGATAGAGACCCGTCACCGCTCCATCGCCCAGGCAAGCGGTGTCGTGCCGGTCCCTATCTTTCAGGGTTGTGCCCCCGCCCAGTGTACCTTCTCCGACGGCTCTGCCGCAGTGGCTGAGACTGCTGCTGCAGTGCAGTTTCGTTCGGGGAAGGGCCGCCGCCCCAAGGTTGGGCGCGGCGGCGGCGGCGGCGGGGGTGCGGGAGGGGGTAGTGGTGGGGTCGGGTCGTCTGGTGCTGGAGCGGACGAGGGGACCCTGCCCAGTCCAGCTGAGCCGCCGCCCCTGCAGTTGCAGCAGCCGCAGCAGCCGCCGAAGTCGCAGCCTTCGCAGCAGCCGCAGCAGCCGTCGCAGACGCGGCAGACGAGTGTCCTCCCGCCCGGGTGGCCCGGCGCTGGCGGTGGCCGGGCGCGTGGTGGTGTGCCGAGTGGTGGCTCTGGTGGCGGGCGTTGTCAGTACCAGATCCAGACCGGTCCTCGCCGCGGTTTCGTTTGCGGTAGGCTCGGTCACTCCACTCCCCGCTGTTTTTGTCGCCTGGACGACCTCTTTCGTCAGCGCTTCGGCCCGTCGCCAGACCTCCCGGACTGGCACAGTTTGGTAAGTCGTAGTATTCCGATTTTTGACATGGACATGGATGCCATTGTTTCTGCTCTGCATGTGATGTATGCTGATGACTCTAGTGTGCTTCCCGCTTATTACGCATTGTCGTCTAGTGTAGGTGTGCCTAGCTTAGCCTCCCCTGCTGCGTCAGGCGTAGGATCCCCTGCTTTGTGTAGTCTTGGTGCTTCCGCCGTCGTTCCGTTGCCAGACGCCTCTGCTTCGCTTTCCTTCACCTTGGACTCTGGCACTTCTCGGTGTTTCTTCCGCGACTCCACCACCCTGACGCCGCTTCCTCTCCCAGCTGCCGTCTCTCTTGCTGACCCCTCCGGCGGTCCGGTCGTCGCCCGCAGTTCCACCACCCTTCCCTGTCCGGCGGTTCCTTCGAGCTCTCTCACAGGTCTGCATATCCCCTCGTTCTCCAGGAACCTAGTTGGTGTCGGCTGCCTCCAGGACCTTGGCGTCACCACTACGTTCCCTGGTCACGAGCGGTATGCTGTCTGTACCGAGGCCGCCACTGGTGCCCCCCTGTCCACGTTCCCCCGGGACCCGGTGTCCGGCCTGTTCACTCTGGACACCGTGACCCCCCCGGCTGGGGCGCCTCCTCAGGTGGTGCGTCTACCCAGGTTGCTGCTGCCTGCTCCTGTCGGTCCATCACTCACCCGACTCTCCTTTGGCACCACCGCCTAGGTCACCCTGCGCTCCCGCGTCTGCGTCACATGTCCCAGCACGGTCTTGTCCTTGGTCTCCCAGGTTCCCTCCCCGCGTTTCCCTCCTCCCCAGCCCCACCTTGCACGCCTTGTGTTGAGGGTCGGCTTCGCCGTGCCCCGCACTCCTCCTCGTTTCCCCCTACCGCTGCGCCGCTGCAGACCCTGCACCTGGACGTCTGGGGCCCCGCCCCCGTCCCTGGGTCGCGTCGAGAGCGCTACTTCCTTGTGCTTGTCGACGACTTCACTCGTTACACCACAATCTTTCCCCTGGAGCGCAAGGCCGACGTGCCTGGCGCTCTCATCCCCTGGCTTGTCTCTGCGCGTGTCCACCGCGGTCTCCCTGTCTTGCGTCTTCACTCCGACCGTGGTGGCGAGTTTGCCTCAGGTGTCCTTGGTAGCTTTTGTCGTGCGGAGGGCATCACCCAGACGTTCACCCTACCGGACTCCCCACAGCAGAATGGGGTCGCTGAGCGATGCATCGGTTTGGTCATTAAGGTGGCTCGCACCTCCATGATCCATGCCGATGCACCCCATTTTCTGTGGCCGTTCGCTGTGCGCTACGCTTCTCACCAGCTTAACTTGTGGCCGCACCCTCAGCAGCCGCAGGTTTCGCCGACTCGTCTTTGGACTGGGTCTCCTGGTGACGCGCCTGCGTTCCACGTCTGGGGCTGCCTTGCTCACGTCCGTGCCTCCGGCACGGACAAGCTCACTGCCCGCACCCTTCCCTGCGTCTTCCTCGGTTTTCCCCTTGACGCGTCAGACTGGCACTTTTACCACCCGCCGTCTCACCGCTTCTTTCACTCTCGTGACGTCACCTTTGACGAGTCCGTCTCCTACTACCGTCGCTTCCCCCACCGTGGTCCCCCGGTTACCCCCCCCTGTTCCTGGTCACTCCTTCCCCGGTAGTCCCTGCCCCTCCTCCTCCTCCTCCCCGTCCCGCCCCCTCTGGTGTGTCCCACGTCACCCCCCTTCCGTCGGTGGACCCAATTCAGGAGTCTTCTGACTCTGGTGGCCCTCCTGTTTAGTCCTCGCCGGCCCCCCCTCCCCTGGCGTCCCCTCCCCAGTCCCCCCCTCCACCGCCTCTGCCGCCGCTGCAGCCGTCGTTGTCGCTGCCGCCGCCGCCGCCGCCGCCGCCGCCGTCGCCGTCGCAGCACCCGTTCGCTGACTCTGGGGGTGCTCGTCCCGGTAGGCCTGGGGGTGGTCCCTCTCGGGGTGCTGGTGTGGAGAGTGCCGGTGGTAGCCGAGGAGCAGCTTGCGGTCCCGGTGTCGCCGTTGTGCCGCCGCAGCAGCAGTCCCCGCCGGTGTCAGCCCTTCGCCTGCTCGGCCTTCCGTCCCCCGACCCTGCGTCGGTTCCTCCCCGGCCGTCTCCTCCTCTTCCTGTCTACGGCCCTGTCTTCCCTCCGCCGGACTCGTCCCCGGCCCGTCTCCCCCCTCGTTCCCCTCCTGTGTCCCCTCCTCTGTCTCCTGACCCGACTCCTCCGTCGCACGTCTGGTCTCACCGTCCCTCCCGCGCTCGTCCTGCCTCGCCTGTCTTGTGCTCC